CTCTCTCTCTCTCTCTCTCTCTCTCTCTCTCTCTCTCTCTCTCTCTGTCTGTCTCTCTCTCTCTCTCAAGGGAAGAAAGGTTTATTTCAGCTCACAGATTGTAGAGATTTCACTTCATAGTCAGCTGGCTTCAAGGCAGCGTGGCCTGGCAATGGAGAAATAGTCCATGGCAGGGCAGACAGAAAGCAGTAGTCACTCTCATTTTAATTCTGCAAAAGTCTCTAGGAGGCCAGAAGGATTCAAATTCTCCTTGTCTAGCCCTGCTCGTGGGCCTCTCTAGTCAGGCACACAGCTCTAACGAAGGCAGGCCCCCCTGAGAGGCTGGGTCTGAGGTCTGTCCTCTTCTCTCTGCCTCAGAGCTCTTCTTTAACGCCCTCACTGCTCCGCACTCCACTTCCCAGGTGACCACCGACTGGGACCTTCAGAAAGGCACCGGCTGCACAGAGGGCCACACAGGGACCTCCGCAGCAGCACCTCTGGCAGCTGGCATGATAGCCCTCATGCTGCAGGTGCGGCCCTGTCTCACATGGCGCGACGTCCAGCACATCATTGTCTTCACAGCCACCCAGGTGAGATCAGGTAGACAGGTGGCCAGGCCCAGCCTGCCCCAGAGTTTGGGTATCAGGAGCTTACAGATTCTAAATGTCCCAAATGTTAGGCACCAAGTCCCAGAGTGGCACGTGTAAAGAACAGATATGGAGGGCCAGGGATTTAGCTCAGTCATTCCGCAGCCTGCTGCGCAAGTGCAAGGGCCAGAGTTCGACCCCTGTACAAAAACAAACAAAAAAAAAGAACAGATACAGGGATGCCCTCAAGGCCTCTTTACTCTGCCACTGGTGCCTCCTGACTCCCTCTCTGGAAGCAAGCCTCCGGTGGTGACATCATGAGGCTGTGACCTTTTGTCCCAGCTGTCCTGGGGGAATCCATTGCTAGTGACCCCTGGACTGGACTGGATCGGCCAGCAGGGAAGCAGAAGACAACAGGCTGTTGTGACACTGGCCATGTGTGAGACTAATGGGCTCCTGTCCTTTCAGTATGAGGATCGCCATGCAGATTGGCTCACCAATGAGGCGGGCTTCAGCCACAGCCACCAGCATGGTTTCGGGCTGCTCAATGCTTGGAGACTCGTCAATGCAGCCAAGGTGAACAGGTGTGGGCATGGCTGGACAGGGTGACCAAGTGGGCGTCCCATGTCCAAAACGTTGCCTGGCACATCATAGGCACTTCAGAAATGTTCATTCATGTCAGTACATTGGCCACTTTTACCCTCGAGTAAGCTGATAGCCATTTTATACATGAAAACACTCAGGTGCAGAGCCATAATTTGGAAGGTCCCAAACTGTTAGGGAGAAAATGAGACCTGAGTACAGCTGGGTCTCATCCTCATCTTCAAACCTGGGCATGGCCATTTCTTCCACTTCCTTAACTTGGTGCCTTGAGGAGCACTCCAGGGTGTCAGCAGAACCTTGGGAGTAAAGGAAGGTGATGATGAGAGGAAAAATAGAAAGCTGGGCTTACAGATCATGTGGATGAGTGTGTGTGAGTGCTTACGCACATGGGAATGTGAGTGTGATCAGCCTTGTTCATTGCTTTGCCACACCACCCCCTTTCCTTTAACAGATCTGGACGTCTGTCCCTTACTTAGCTTCCTACATCAGCCCTGTGCTGAAAGAGAACAAGGCTATTCTGCAGTCCCCGCACTCACTGGAGGTCCTGTGGAATGGTAAGTAGTCAGCACCGAGGGGTTAATCTTGTATCTCAGTCCTGGGCTGGATGGATGTGCGCGGTTAGACTCTGCCTCCCTGCTGACTTCCCCCTTCCTTCAGGAGCTGAGCTCCAGCCAAACCTGTAGAGTTTTCTTTGACCATTTTAGGACATGTTGCTGCTTCTGAGTTGGCTGGCCCCATGGCTGCTTAAACAAGACCTTTCTCCCGAGCTCCTAGGAGTGAAAGGAGCTGCTGAGCAACCAGCTAGGAAGGCGGGTGGGTGGAGCGGGTGTAGGACTGAGCAGGCTGGTGTGAAAGAAGTGTCTGTGACCTCCATGTTAAGATCCTGCCAGACAACTACCCGGCCAGGTAGCCTTAGGTGAAGTAAAGGAATTGAGCACTCTTTCCTTTGATGCTCAGGCTTGTCTCCTAGAGCTACATACCACCTATTGGGTGGGACAGACATGAGTAGAAGTTCCCTAGATTAGGGTTACCTGCCCTCCACGCCTGCCCCCATGGTGCCTGGGGCTGCTAGGCTGTGTGAAGGGGGAGCCAGTTATCATCTAAGTGAGTGATGCAGTGTATGTTGAGCACAGAGGTGAAATGTGTTTTTGTGAGAGGACCTATACACAATTTCTTATTGTTATTGTGTTATTTTGGTGCTGGTGATGCATATGGCTCCAGGATAATCTCCCAGCCCCTCTGCACATTTCCCAGCTTTCAGGGACTTTTTTTTTCCTTTGAGGAATTTGGCAAGCAGAGATATTCACTACTTTCTGTGAAGGTTGAAGTGTGTCATTCTCTGTACCCAAACCAGAACTGTGTCCTCACTTTTTCTGTCCTCCTCAAAAGTATTCAGTCCAGAGCCCTAGCAGTAGAAAGAATGGCCAAAGGAAGGACCTCAGGCAGCAGGAGGGGCAGTCTCTCTCAGGTGGAGTTTTTACTTGGAGGAGCTGAGTTACCCTCTGCCTAAGCAGGTCCAACTCCTGCCAGTTTCCCTGTATGTGAAGGGAGCCTTAGGCCCAGTCACTATATTTTCCGTAAAAGGAATGCTATCTTGGAAAGGGCATAATGCATTAGCCAAGGCACAGCAGTTCAGAAACATGCCCAGGAATGTGGTTCTGTCAGAAGCCCCTGACTTTGCACCCACAGTCTTGGGTATTGTGTGCTTTCTAACCTTTATCTCCCATTTAGGACTGTTTCCCGTCACATCTGTCAGATGAGGGAAGTTGACTTAGAAGGATTGGAGCCTCTCCAGTTTTGTCATCTTTTGGTTCCTCTAACAAGGGATGTTGCCCCAGGGTGTCTGACAAACTTTCTTAGGTATTGAGGGCTCTGCCAATGACTTGTTTGTCACTAGGAAGCAAGAGAAAGGAGGACAAGTTGTCCTGGGGAGAGGAAACTGGGAGGTGGTGTAGGAAGAGCGTGGGAGCGATGAGGAGGGAAAGATCCAGGGAGTGGGGCCAGAGGAGTCTTGCACCCAGGCAGCAAACAGGCGTGCTGCACATTTCAGAGGCCAGTGAAAGTGACTTCTCTGACAGGACTCCATCACCCCTGAGCAGAAAAGGTAAGAGCTTGAGGGCTGAGAGGAGGAAGCCTAGGTAGGACAGAGCTGAGCAACTCAGCCCCTATAGCCATGCTGTAGTGTTTTTCCAGAAGGATATGGAACTTTTACTAAGGTAGAGGGAGCTGAGCATCCCTACAGTAGAAGAGAAGGTGAAAATCCTCGAAGACTCCAGAGCAAAGTTGTCACATAGAACTTTATGCCATGATGGGAATATTCTAGATCCATGATGCTGTATAATTTTATGGAACACTTAAAATGTGGCCGGTGTAACTGAGGAACAGAATTTGAATTTATCTAATTGTAGTTCATTTAAATTTAAGTAATCACATGTGACTGGTAGCTGCTCTATTAAACACTACAGCTGAAGAGCCTGACAGACTCATTTCCCCCACCAGCAGGAAGTTAGGAGGAAGAGTGTATCAGGGTGCCCAGCTCCTTTAGAGCAGACACTGGGTCCAAAATCTGTCGAAGAGGGTGTGAGGTGGGATGGGATTTGGGGAGGAATATCTTCTGCGCAAAAGAGCCTGTGTACTAGAAGATTCCCGGGCACCTACTCACACTTGTTTTTCCTCCTGGTTTGTACCCTGAGTGTATGGCTAACCCTCTGCCTATGCAGTGAGTCCTGTTCTTTGCCCTCTCAGCCCCCTCTTTCCCTCTCTACCTATTCTTCTTTCTGCCTTCCAACTAATGTTCCTGCCTCCCGTCAGCCTTTCAGATGAATTAACTGCAGCCACTGCTCTGCTTTCACACATTTCCTCCGCAACACTCGCTTCATTATTCATGATGCCTCTTCCCTAACTCCATCCAGGGCTGATTCAGAGTCCATCCTTCTTAACCTTCTTGATGTTCTGACCCTATTAATTAGACCTTTGCTGCAGGCCCTCTCCTCTGGCTTCTGTGACCCCTTTACTGCTTAACCCTCTTCTGGCCTCGCTCTGTACCTGAGGTTCCCATTTTCTTCACTTGCTCATTTAGTGCCTAGCCTGAAAATCTAAGAATTTGATCCAAGATCATTTGTCCTCATGCCAGGTATGGTGGTGCATGCCTGTAACCCCAGCACTTGGGAGGCTGAAGCAGGAAGATCATCACAAATTCAGGGCATGTATTGAGTTCAGGACCAGCCTGAAATACAGAGCTGAGATCCTGTCTCCTAAAACAAAACAAAAAAAGATTTGTCCTCTCTCAATGTTTATGACTTGCTGCCACCTTTCCACACATGATTTCTAGATCTAAATCTCTTACTGTGATACCTCACCAGTGGGAAGGATAGAGATTATCATAGCTAGAATATGGGCAAACTAAAGCCCTGGTATCTTCTGGAGTAGAAAGACCCTAAAGTCTAAATAATAATAGTGAGGATCATTGGCTCCAACTTGGTGTTTTTTATGTACCACACGCTACTAAGTATTAACTTCTTTAAGCCTTTTTTTCAGTTCCAGGGATCGAACTCAGGATCTTACACGTACGAGGCAGGCAGCAGCACCACTGAGCTACATCTCCAGCCCCTTAACATCCTTAAATATTGATACATTTAATTCTACTAGAAATTCTAGAAATAATTTAGTATATTCACACATATGGCCACCCAAGTACCCACCCACACCAATGAACAAAGAAACAAAAAAAAGGTTGTAGCATATCGTGAATACAGACAAGCACTCCTCTTTGATTGGGTTTCTTTTCAGATTCTGTTCTGATCTATAACATGTCACTGACCCTCCTGTATACCTCTTATTCTTTCTTTCTTTCTTTCTTTTTTTTTTTTTTTAACAGGGCCTCACTGTGTAGTTCAGGCTGACCTTGAACTCACTATGTAGCCCAGGCTGGCCTTGAACTCATGGCAGTCTTCCTGCCTCAGCCTCCCGAGTGCTGGGATAACAGGTGTGCACCACCACGCCCAGCCCACCATGCTATTGATCCTCTAACAATATAATACATTTAACACATAAAAATTGTGCTACCCACCTTTTCCCATCCCTAACCCCTGGCAACCACTAACTGTTCTCCATCTTTACGATTGTGTTATTTCATAAATAACTATGTAAATGGAATCATGCATTATGTGTCCATTTGAGATTGGCTTTTTTCACTCAGCATAATTTCCTCGAAACTTACCCACTTCAGTGGTTTTCAAAAGCAATTTGGCATTGTCTCCCATATATGAGACTTGTTCATTTCACCTCTGTCTTTGTGATATCATCTCTCCTTTCTAGAATACTCTCTACCAATCTGTGTTCCTTTCCTTCGTCAGTGTGTCTCACAGCATGTCTTCCCTTATCAGTTTTGTACGTATCAAATCATTTTCCATTTGTCTTCAGGTAGACAGGTACCATGCCCAACTTATCTATATAGTGCCATTATCTCGTCAGGTGCCTAATTTTTGTTTTTAATTTTGTATTTTTGAGACAGGGTCTCACCATGTAGTCCAGGCTGGCTTCAAACTTACTGTGTACCCCAGGTTGGCCTCAGACTCAAGGTGATCCTCCTGCCTTAGCCTCCTGAGTGCTGGGATTATAGTTGTGCACCACCACACCCAGCTAGATCTTAGGTGCCTAAGATTTAGGAGGTACTTGTAGGTAATTTTTAGGTGAATGAGTAATTGAAGTTGCTCTGTTGGGTTCTTACATTGTGTCTCAGCCATGTATTGCCTTCCTAGCTAGACCCTAAATGGCACTGCTTTTTAGTCACTAGTGTTGAGGTTGCTGTACGTGCCTGTATGTGGCTTCAGGAAGCTTGTGCATTTGTATATGTGGGGATAAAGTGAGGGCGTAAGTGTTTATGGGCTGGTTTCCCAGCTTCCCAGCCTGACTTCCTACAGTCAGCAGGATGGATCTGGAGATGTCGGGGCTGAAGACCCTGGAGCATGTAGCAGTGACGGTCTCCATCGCTCACCCACGCCGAGGCAGCTTGGAACTGAAACTCTTTTGTCCCAGTGGCATGGTGTCCCTTATCGGCGCCCCCCGCAGCATGGACTCGTACGTACACCTGCCTGTGGCCTCCTGAGCTGTCTTTGCAATAAGGATCTTTTGAAGAGGATAGTGGCTCTGTCATAAGCAACCATGGCACCGACTGTCCTTGGAAGTTGGAAGCCACTGATCACATGCTTGCTTTAAGTGCTTACAATGTGTTGGGCATTGTGCTCTACATACATGCATCCTCTAATCATTGAAGGACCAGCTGGAGTAGACTTTGTGACCTCCTTTTACAAATGAGTGAACAAGTAGTCACAGAGCTAGTAACTGCTGAGAAGAGTAAACCTAGATCTGTGGGACTTCAAGTCTGTGTCCTCCCCACCTAGGCCTTTCCCATACACCTCAGGGCCACAAGTCCCTCATTCCCTGAGATCCCTGGGGTGAGGAGCACACTTGGGTCCCCTTCTGGCACCTTCCCAAATGGCTGTAGCTCATTTCTGTGGCTGCTGCAGTGAGGAACTAAATGTTTCTGGGAAGGGGTCAGCTCTCTGTGCTGTTCCTTTCATCTCCGCGCCTTTGATCTTTCCCCAGAGATCCCAATGGTTTCGAAGACTGGACCTTCTCCACTGTGCGGTGCTGGGGGGAAAGAGCAAAAGGCACCTACAGACTGGTCATCAGGGATGTAGGTGAGCCTCCCCGCCCTTTCCCCAGGGCCCTGCCTTCCCTCGTTGTCCCTTTGGATCTCAGAGTCCCCACAGAAAGTGTCACGCGCAAGGGCAGATGCCAAGGAGGATGCACCTAAACCTGGGCATTAATCCCTAAAGCTGACCACTTAGTCATCTCTATTCCTTGGAGAAGTAAAACCAGGTCCTTTCACGTGTAGCGATTCTTCAGCCAGCCCTGGTAGGCAGGTAAGGTCAGGACTAATGTTCACCTTTTTTTTTTAACTGAGGCCAGAAGTTTGAAGTGCCCTATAAGGTCACAGTAACAGTGACTATTGAATATCTGCGATACCAGTGAAGAGACTAGAAATTGTACCTGCCCTTGCCTCCCTAATTCTAGTCAAACTATGTATCTGCCAGACCAACTAGTGGTTTTCAAACCTTCTTTACTTTGGCAGAAAAACATTTTTCTTTCAAGAAAATCCCAGCTGAAATCCCAAAATAGAGGATAAAGGCACAACTCTGCTTTGAATTCAGCCTTTCAAGCTCTCTGCCTGTGCCAAAGCACTTCTGCAGAACCGGAGGGTCTCAGTGGGACAGCCACTAACTACACTGCACTGTGGTCTGAGTGCCTTGAGTGGCTGCGCTTCTGAGGGTGGCATGGCCAACAGAGGGGATTGCTCACAGGTTGCCCACTTGATGCCCTAGGTGATGAGCCACTCCACTTGGGCATCCTCCAGCAGTGGCAGCTGACCTTGTATGGCTCCATGTGGAGTCCAGTGGACATTAGGGAAAGACAAAGGTAGGTACAGCCCCGTATGTCAGAGGGAGGGCAGCTTGTGATGTGGGAGAAGCCACCCCAGGAGCCAGTTCCCTTCCAAATCCTGTAGTCCCTCTAGCTCCTGACCCCAGCTGAAGACACAGCCAGGGGCTGGGAAGCCACAGTGCACTCCTGCCCTCAGGCCTGGGCTCCCTTTCCTCCCCAGTGGCAAGGCAGGAGGACAACAAAGGCAGACGGTATAGGAACCATGTTCAATAAGGCATCCTGCACCCTTTGCTCCACAGGCTGTTAGAAAGTGCCATGAGTGGAAGATACCTGCATGACAGCTTCACTCTGCCCTGCCCACCTGGACTGGAAATTCCTGAGGAAGATGGTTATACCATCACCCCTAACACCCTGAAGGTACTAGCACCAGGATTCAAATTATAGGCACATAGGACTGTCCGAGGGGTTGGTGACCTGGATGACCTGAGGAATGAGAGGGTGGGAAGATCTGGATTCCCACAATGGCTTCATAGTATTGCTTCTACTCTGCGAGCTCATTCAGAGGACAGTCCAGTGGTGGGAGGGGCAGGAGAAGGGGTGGGCAGCAAGCTTCTCAAGGGGTGGGGGGGACTCCTTGAGCTCATAGTTCAGCCATGGGAACGGAACCTAACATAGGTGCTTGGCTTTTTCCCAGACCCTGGTGCTGGTGGGCTGTTTCACCATCTTCTGGACTATTTACTATATGCTGGAGGTATATCTGAGCCACAGGAATGTGACTTCCACCCAAGGTTGTAGGAATGGACTCTGCCACTGGCCCCAAAGGAGCCGAAAATCCAAAGAGGAAGGGACAGAGCTAGAATCAGTGCCACTTTGCAACAGTAAGGATCTAAATGAAACGGAGGCAGAGAACGGGAGCCCTCCCACCACCACTGACCTCCTTGCCCCAGACGTTCTCAATGAAGGGGACTGGGCCCTGTCCCAGAACAACCAGAGTGCCCTGGACTGCCCTTATCAGCACCGACCGCCAGACCTGTTGCAGAAGGAGGAGGAACAGATTTGCTGACCTCAGGGTCTGGTAGACTTGGTGAGGGACAGGCTCTTCCTTCCCAGAATTGGGGAAGCTGCTCCCAACTTTGAGGACCTCTGGGGAAAATGTAGTCCTGATGCTTACATCTGGAACCTGAGGCCTCAACAGCATTCTCTGGCTACCCTCATGGAGGGTAAGGGCCTTCGTAAGTAAAAGCGGCAGAAGATGGAACCAGAGGACAATCTGGAGAGAGGATAGGATCCTGACTGGTTGCTTTCTAGGAGAAAGGCTTGCCAAGGGATTGGCACTCAAATAGCTGCCACCATTTCTCTTGGCAATCCAGCAACACAAGTCATAGAGATCCCTACCCATGTAGTTTGAAAAGGTGCCTGCATGGCCAGGAGAATCCTCAACAGAAACATCACTGGGATCACTAGGAAGGAGTGTGGCTGGAGATGCTGGCTGGGAAGGGCCCAGCCATGACTGCCCTGAAAGCAGCGCCTTCTTTAGCCTTTCCCAGGAGTGCCAAGCTTGAACATGCTGTGGCTCCCTTCGTCATCACTCCTGCCCCTCCTGAAGGATTGGCACAATGCTCCTGGCATAGCTGGGGAGAGTCATGGCTCCCCAGGGCCCATACTGCCTCATTAGAGAAGTCTGTGGTGGCACTGAGGAGCAGGTATGGGACATGAGTGTTTTAGGAGAAGCCAAGGGAGCCACTGCCACTCCAGCCCTGTGACCACCCTGTCTTCCTCTGAAAAGTGCTCAGGGAAAAGCCCTTCCCCTGGAGACCTACCGTCTACAACCTGTGACTTTTCCTCCCACTCTTGGCCTCCTCCCTTCTTCTGAGCTAATTGAATTTTTTTAATGCTTAAAATTTTGATTTTCTCTTTTCACAGCAACATTTTGTTGAATTTTTTTCTGCACAGCTTTTCCAAAATAAAGACCTTCCAAATAATTCCACCGCTTCCCATCTCCTTCTGCTTCCCAAAGCTAACTTGAGTGGCCATGTTGATCTCCTTCCCCTTGAGTCCTTGAGATTCACTCCCCTCTTCAGGTTTGTTTCTTCGGATCCTCTGGGGACCCAAGTGCATGACAAGTCCCCTGAGGGGCAGATAGCAGCCAATAACACATGAACCCAAGATGCCAGCTGCTCCCTTCTCAGGAAGCAGAAGAGACTAGGGCAAATCAAACTCTGCCAGCCAGGCTTGAGAAAAGATGGATGTATATATATTTTTTTTTTCTTTTTTGAATTTTAGCCCCCAAAATATTCCATGAAAAGATGAGGGGAGCATGGGCAGGATCTCCTTCAATGGGCTTTTGCTGCCAAGGAAGACAGTGGGCTTGCCCCACATCCAGTACCAGCCCACCTGCCCCGGCTTAGCTCCAGGTGGGAAGAGAGGATAGTGGTGGAGGTGCGGCTGGGAGGAGGAGCCGGGCAGTGGTGCTTGGGTAAGTTGGGCTGAGGCTGGGGGGAGCTGCCTGTGTGCAGTCACTTTTGCCCAGTGACAGTCTCAAAGCTTGGCCAGGGCTAAGAAACTACACAGGTGTGTGGGGCCGTCTAAGCAGGATGGCTGTAGCCAGGGAGCTACAGAAGCCGGGGCTCAGGCCTGGCCCTCCCCCTCTAACTGATGATCTGCCGAGGTCGTCCATAGCCTGTCATGCCAGACTGGGAGGCCCCTCTGTTGCTGCCCATCTGAAGACCAATGACATGCTTTCCCTCCTGCAGTTGGCTCTCTGTGAATTCTCTCTTATGCTCCTGGGCTTTCCTAAAAGAGGAGGAACCAGGATAAAGATTTGTCAGAACTTTTTGATATTTTCCACCTGTCTTGTGGTCCCTCTTGCTCTCTACTCTAGTCCCATCCCTTTCTTGTTTCACTCAGCGCAGAAGAGTAGAAAGGAAGGAGCCAAGAAGTATGAATGGGACTGGGGACATAGCTCAATGAGAGCACTGAGTAGCATGCACTAGACCTTGGGTTCCATCTCCAGCACTGGGAAAAAAAACAACAGCATGACCAGCCCATTTGTTCTCACTTGTTGCCTTCCTATCTGCTTCCCCTGATCATTCCCACAAGTTGGCCAGCCCAAGCCACCCCCATCCCCTGGAGAGATCCAAGCATAGAAGGAAAGGATTCCTGGTGGTCACATACTTCATAAACCAGTTGGGATCACCACGGTAATGGCCATCATTCTTGGTCACTGCCAAGCTGCCCAAAGCCATCAAGGTCCTTTGCACTGCTGCCAGGTCTTTGCCTATAAGAAGAAAGAGCAGGGGCCAGGGATTTAGCTCAGTGGTGCTGCCTGCAGTTTGATCCCTGGTACCAAAAAAAAAGAGCAGCCAGGGAATGAATTTTAGGACTGAATAGGTAGGATTCCAACCCAGGGCCTGCTTGTCTCAAAGAAATGGCCAAACTAGCAGTAAGCATTGTGCCTGAACCACGGAGGCTTCAGTGGATCCTACAAAAAGAAAGTCTTTGTGAGTCGTGTGGTAGTCTCAGCATAACCTTGCTCTGCACGGACTAACAAACACCTGGTTGTAGGGTATTCTAATCATTCCCTCCCCCTGGCTTAGAATCCTGTTCACATGCTCACTGCTGGCCCACCGACCCATCTCTTATTCCTCTGTACCTTCAAAGAGGTCAACAGTCTGGAACATGTCCGTCTTGGTGACCCCATAGTCCTCAGCTGCTTTCAGGAACTGAGCCACCTGCTCCATCTGCTTGAAGACCATGGAGGGTGGGTTCTCAGGCACCTTCACTGGCTTGGAGCCCTCAGGATACAGGCTGTTCACCAGTTTGCTTAGAATCTACCGGGCAGAAGACATAGCATGGCACTCACTCAATTCAGGAGTCCCTTGCCATGACTCACAGGATGGCAAAACCCCTGCCCTCTTCCCAGGGTGCCACTCACCACACCATTCTTCAGCCAGACCTGGAAGCCCAGGCGCCCACGGTCTGGGCGACCCACATCAGGGCCACACTGCACTATGATCCACTCCACCAGCCGTGCCTCCAGCTCCTCATCATACTTCTTTTCAATTTTGGACTGCACTTCACGGCTCATGCCATAGGAAGGACCCTTGTTGGCCATTATGGAAGCAAAGCTAAAACAGGGTAAGGCAAGCAAGAAAGAGGGTCACAAGACCAGAGAACAGCTGTGCTTTCATTTGTGCCAAGCAAGACTTCTACCTTTGTACAGGGTTTCTAGCCATTCTAGACTGGACCACAGCACTACCATTTAGGCAAGAAGTTTCTCTGAACTTGAACATCAGGAAAAAGGTTATCGGATGTTTGGAAGTCTACAGCAGGGGTCTATAAACTTTTTTTTTTTTTTGGTACCGGGGATCAAACTCAGGTCCTTGCACTTGCGAGGCAGGCCACCGAACCACTGAGCTAAATTCCCCAGCCCCTATAAACTTTTTGTTAAAGAGCCAGACAGTGAGCAGGGTGTGGATACTGGCATACACCTATAATCTCAGCACTACTCTGGGAGGCTAAGGCAAAAGGATCACAAGTTCAAGCCTAGCCTAGGTCCTGGGTTCAATTTCCAATTGTACACACACACACACACACACACACACACACACGATAGTAAATATTTAGGCTTTGCAGGCCATATATAGGGTCTCTGCTATTGTGGCATGAAAGCAGCCATGGACTATGTATAAACAAATGAACATAGCTGGCAGAATAAAACTTTATATATAAAATCAGACAACAGGTTGATTTTGACAACCCCTGGCCTAGAGCATTTTTTCTTTGCCAAGACTGGCCACAGAGGCGCTGGAGAAGTCTTCCAGAGCTCAGAACATTCACCAAGATAAAGTTGGCAGGTGTCTGTCCAGCTAGGTATGAAGTCGCTTACTGCCTCCACCTTACTGAACAAGGTCCCCTAACTTATTTAATCCTCTAGCCCGGAAGCTGGAAATACAAATTCAGCTTTTTACCAGATCCACTCAACCTTTGACCTGAAGCTGAAAAGGCTCAGGCTTACACACACCTGGCAAGCTCTAAGAAGCCACCAACGCCCAAGGGTTCTTGGCAAAGCAGCTGCATTTCCTCGGGAGACCCAGCCGAGTGATGACTGCTGTACCCACCCGACTCCCCCCATGCCCTCAGGTTCTCCCCAATGCAGTAGTTTGAGGAATCAAAAAGTCAGAGTCCTTGAGGGATATTCCAGAGCCAAGAATCTGCCAGCCCAAGCATGGAAAGCCCTCCAGGGCACCATGCTGTCCTGCAGGCCAGGGCTGACACTGCTCAGGAGGGCACTCAAGAAGAGGGAGGCAGGCTGTGGGCAGGTGCAGGGCAGGCAAGTAGGCTGCTAGACAGACACAGGAATAGCCAGGGAAGAGGAATCGGCCTGGCCACAGGAGCTGCCTTAGCATGGGTTGATTTTTGCCTAGTGTTTATCTGCACAGCCTTCCAAAACAGAGGACTAAAAGGAGGCCAAATCCAGCCCCTATCCTCAAGGAGGTCAGAGGTTGGGAGGGAGATAATGAGTTGAGGATGGAAGCAGTGGGTAAGCTCCCCACCTCCCACCTGAGAGAGTGAGACCCCACACACACACACACCTGTGGGAAGCAGCGTGAATACCGTCACATCACTCTGATCCCGAGCCTGTTACCAAACTCCAACGCTCTACCCTTCCCTTCCTGGTGGCTAACAGCCTTTCCCAGCTGAGTTCCCCAGCTGTGGAGTGGGCTAACAGGATCCAAAATGACTGTCTGGGTACCATCTTGCACACTTCCTGGCCTTCAGCAAAGCTCTTCAAAATGTCAGTCTCCTGGAGGTGACAGGAAGCCAGCCAGCCTTTGGCCAAGTAAGTCATACAATAAGTGGCCTCCCCGCTCCAGCCTCTATCTGCTTCCGAATCCCTCCTGAAGACGAAGTTAGGAAAAAAATATGAGAGGGTCTCATCTAAACACCAGCCCTTGGCCACCTCACTTCTCTCGCAGTCTGTTTCCTTATCTGTGAAGTGGGGGGTGGGCCATTGAGGGTACAGTCCTCTGAGCTCTGCAAATGAAGTGGACCCAGGCCCAGCACCACATCCAGGGGTGATGCTGGCAAATCCAAAGATGTCCCTACTTCGTTCCCCTGTCATATGTCCTACCCTCTCCCCTTCTACCAAGGACTCCTGGGCAAAGAGCTGTGGTCAAGGGCCACAAGTAGAGCTGGGTGTGGAGGTGCATGCCCACAATCCCACCACTCTGGGGAGCTGAGGAAGGAAGATTGCAAGTTCAAGCCCAGCCTGGACAACTTAGCAAGACCCTGCCTCAAAAACACACAAGTCAATTGGGACCAAGTGTTTTCAGCCAACTCTTCTTCCTGGCGTCCATCCAGCCTGACTCAGCCTTTGCCCCACCATCCCAGCCACACACGCACCCTTGGGGGCCAGGCAGACCCCTGCCCCACCCACCCACCTTCACATCTGCCTTCTCCTCCATGCCACCTGCTGGGCACAGGAGGAGAGCATTGAAGGAGAGTGTATCCCCCAATCCATAGCTTTCTGTCTCAGGAGGGTAAGGGCAGACAGTATGAGTCAAAGGGTCAAGGCTCATGGTGACAAGAACAGAACACTGAAGCCCTTACACTAGAGACAGTATTTGGATTGTGGTCAGAGCAAGGGAGGGCAATGAAACATGCCCAGCCCACCTCGACGCAGCTCCACCCTTCTTCCCCATCTGGGAAATCCCTTAGAGTCTTCTGATGGACACCTCCCCGGTCCCACCATGGAGCAGCTGGGGAGAGAAGAAGGAAAAATGGAGGCAGGGCCACCCACCAGAGTCATTTCTAGACAGAGACTCCAGGGACAGAGGCACAGGATGACTGTGTGAGGTGAGAGCCTTGTCCATGGGGCCTGTCAGGCCTTCCCTCCTCACAGCAGCCACAGATAGGGTGGGCATGGAGAGGGGAACAGGCAGAAGCTCAGAACAAGCAGAGTCAGGGGTTTCTCCAGGCCTGGTCACTCCGTTCTCAGCACCATAAACACAGCCAACAGGAGTGAGAACCCTGATCCCTGAGAGACGCGGCTCACTGGAACTCCAAGGATAAAGAAAAGTGGCCCTGCTGCACAAAAGTAGCCCATCCTCACTGTGACCCTTTGAACAGTAGCCACAAAGGTGAACCACCCAGACCCTTTGGGAAGGACTAGAGCCCAGGACTGGCCAGCACCCTGGAGCTCCTCCCTGGCAGTGCCCATGCACAGCCCCTGCCTACAGTGGGGATCACCACCCTCTCACACTGTGGAAGGAGCTGGGTGCAGAAGGCGGCTCCTCCAGCCTAGTCCTGCAGTCTGTCAGCCCATGCGCAAGGTCCTGGGTAAAGTCCTGTGGTCCTTCCCACTGCCTCAAGGCTACCACAGGGCAGTCCTGTGCAGCTCCAGCCGTGGGACCAGACCCTGCTCTCCAGAACTGGTGAACTCATGCCCCTCACCTCCATGGTACCCTGCTGGGGAGAGGACAGACAACAGAGCCCGGGCCTAAGCAGACAATGCCTTAAACCTGACACAGCCTGTGGGTGTACTGTGGCTGAACTGGGGAGCCTTCCCTCGCCCCACCGTTTCCACTAGATTCCTTCACCCTAGTCCTGGGCATTTCAGTGAGCCTGAGGCCACTAAGGATGAGACCCAAGACGGGATCATCCACCAAGCTAGCGCCGAGTCCTCTTCTGCAGACTTCTGGAGAAGAGGCATCCAGGCTGCCTGAGAGGGTGGACTTTCCCAGCAGGGAGCACAGACCAGAGACTCTGTCTGAGACACACCCTTTCTACCGTCCGGCTCCTACCCAGCCTCCCCCAGGCACTCACGGGGTTCCTCTGGGCCTCAGGAGCAGCTCGTGCGGTCTCGGTCTAGGGCGTCCGAGCTGGGCGGGCAGGACGGGCGCCCGCTGGGTGAGGGGTTTAAAGGGCTGCCGCCCCGATGATGTCAGCCTCCCCCGCTGGCTCGCCCCCGACCCCTCCCGGCAGGAAGAACCCGGTCCGGCCCCTCACGCCCAGCCCCCCCAGTGACTTCGCACAGGCTCCATATTTGGGGAAAGACACCAAGTTGGAGCAGACTGCTGGGGGTGCCCGAGACATTCTCTGCGTGCTTTGGAGATGGAGCCGGCCCGGGCGGGGCTGCGGGGAGCCGGCCGGGAAAAGCCTTTTATGGGCAGGACCACGAAAGCCTTCCCTGCTCTCCTGACTTAAACTGCCCCTTCTTCATGGCTCCCTGTCCCTGGAAGAACCCAAGACAGTCTGACCAAAGAGAGAGGGACTGGGCCAGGAAGCTAAGGATCCCTGGGGCTGATGAGGGACAAACCAGTCCCCCTCTCTCAGGGGAACCAGCCTTTTAGTGAGGCTGAGCTCTGGCCAGGCACTTGGCAAATGCTCCCATTAATACAACCACACTGTGAAGGCAGAGTCACTGTCCCTATTTAACAGATGAGAAAGTGAGGCTCAGAGGGCTTCAAGACTGCAGGCTGAGGGATGAGTTGCAGAAACCAGGGCCCTGAGCAGCGGGCCTCTAGGCCATCACACCAGGTGCTCCACCTGCTCAGGTTGGAGAAGCTTTCAGTTTGGGTGTTTCGACTTATGTGCTTTAGTTGGGATGGGGTTTGAGGGTTCAGTAGCAGTGGAGTAACCCAGGCCCTACCCAGAGGGGACCTAAGGTCTGGCGGGGCTAAAGACACTAGGGCTGGAGGCTCGAAAGGCTGTCACCTCCTACCTGCTCTGGAAGGAGACCCATTGTACCTGGCTGCAGTGGGTCTGGAGAAAGGAGAGGTCGGGGAAGGTGGGAGACTTCCAATGGAGTGTCTGGGCTACCCACTGTGTGCGCCCACCCCGTCCTAGGGCCTCTGGTCGGGAGGACCCAACACACCCACTATACACACAACACACACATACACCCGGCACCACCCATGCCAAGCAGGGCTTTCTGGGGAGTTTGCCAGGCCTGGCAGGCAGGGGAGGGGCCTGGCTCAGAAGCTCCGCCCACACAGGCAGCCTTCCCTAACTCCAGAACCTGGTGGCGATAGAGCTGTAGTGCCTCCCAGTGGCACGGTAGGGAAGAACAGGGAGAGAAGCTAGAGACGAGGAAAGCCAGTAAGCACTCTCCATTTCTGGATCCCTACCCCCACCCCCTACTTCTGGTTGTGTCCTGAGTTCACCAGACTCCTTGGCCCCAGGTTTTTGTCTGCTGATCTCAAACCAAGGCCTTCGACACTGAGCCACATTCCTTTTTTTTTTTTTTTTGAGACAGGATTCTACTAAGCTACTAAATTACCCAGGTTGGGTTTGAACTTGAGATCTTTCTGCCTCAGCCTTTCAGAGTGTGGAAACTATAAGGATTCACCACCATGCCTGGCCTATGGATGTTTCCAAACTTCCTCCACATGGAGCATGCCCACCCTCTTTGCCACACTCCATACCTGCCTTGACATCATGAGTACCCGCCTTGACCCTGCAGACTGTGAGCTGGTAAATGCTCAGGCAAAAGTGAAGCCAGTCAACCTGATGCATAGGAGCCAGGTAGGCAAGGGCAGTTACTATTTCCCAGGTATGGGGGACTTTATAGGGGAGATGGCACTGCAAAGTCTTTTCCAATTCCTAGCCTCTGTTCGGCAGTGCCTGCTATAGAAGTGGCCCTGGTAAATGTTTACCTAATTAATGCTGTTGTTTGAGGTGGAGGAAAGACATGAGGAAAGGTGGTCTCAAAGTGGGACAAGGAAGATGCCAGCCCTTTCATTACTCACTCTCAACATCACCCAGGACAGGAAAGAAAACAAAGGGTCCAGGAACTGCATCTGGTTCTTTATTGAATACACTCATTCATAGAAAACAGAAACACAACCATAGTATGGAAAGACATAAAACGGAGCTCTGGAAGGAAGACCCAGACCAGCCTCCTATCCCAGCCCAAGGAGAACTATAAAAAGTCAGAGACTAAATCACATTCCCACCCCAAGGCAGAGACCCAACCTGATCACCTCCATCCTTGGCATCTGGAATGGACAGGTAGGGTGAAGGGAACCAAGGACCAGAGCAGCCAGAGGGCCCAGAGCTGGGGCAACTCCATGTAAACTCCAAGGCTTATGTGTGTGTGTGTGTGTGCCTGACAAAACTTGGCTGAAGACTGGACAGACTCAGAAGCCAGCCCTGGGTCTTACAGTGAGACTGGAATTGGGGACACAGGGAAATGGCATCTTCTTCTTTTAAGCCTCTGTAAGATAGGCACTGGGGCTTCTGTAGCTGTGTAGGCAGAATGGGCTGGGGTCTGCACCACCCTGTTCTGCCCCTGGACATTCTCGGGCAGTGTCAGTGGCACTGAAAGGCCCCACCTGGGGCTTGGCAGGACTGAGGACTCAGAAAGGGACAGATGAATTATTTTTCCCTCCAATCCTGGTGCTGGCATCAGTCTGGGAGGTTTATGTGATGAAGAGATGACCTCCAAATTCAGCCCCTCAGTCAGAGGGGGCTCTCAAACCAAACTAAACACCACTGCTAAAGACCAGCCTGAGCACAGGTCAGAGGGGGAGGAGCCTGCTCTGGGCCTCTTGCAGGCCTTAGCACCAAATGCCTGGCACCAGGTGGACAGCCGCCAAAATCTCACACCTGTATTGACCCTGGCTGACCGGAGTAGGCAGTGATGGAAGCGAGGTACAACCCCCAGAAGAACAGGGGCCCTGCAGCAGGACACAAATTAGGTCCCAGACCATGGTCCTGGAGCAGAAGCATAGGAAGAAATGGTTCTGGGTTCCAGACTGAGGAGGAGGGGAAGGATAGGTAGAATGCAAGGCATGAAATGGGGAGGGCATCACCTTCCCTCCTTCCCCCTTCAGAAGGACAAACGGAGAGTCAACGGACGGATGGGGGCCTGTGGGAGGCCCCAACACTGAGAAAAAAGCAGCAATTTGGCCAATGTCTGGGGTCTCGAGGGAGCAGACCTCCTCCCTGGCAGAGGGCAGCTGCAAGGCTCAATACCACAACACAACTGTACCGAGTCTGGCCTGGGCTAGACCTCTCTATCCCACCGCCATCCAGTGCTGGACAGCAGGGCTGGGGCTCACACCCCGGTACCATAGAGGCACCCTGGCAGGTGACAAAGAGGAGCTCAGGGCCCCATGAGGTAAAGCAAGGGGCCCAGCTCCTGCTAAAAGACATAGATCTTGTCCCGCTGCACAGTATCCAGGTCATCGTCCAGTGTCAGCAACACCTAGGGGGCAGATACTGGGTTAGGCTCAGGGGAGGAGGCAGGCTCTGCCTCTCCCCATCCCCCACCCTCCCCACTCAGGCCAGGTGTATCTCGTATACCAGAAAGGACCCAAACATGGCGATGGAGGACAGGAAGTGCCAGATGTCATGGTCATCAAAGAAGTCGAGGAGGATGCAGTCCCGATTGTGCTCCCTTGACTCTGCAGGAGTTTTCTGTGGGACAGGGACAGCAGGCTGCTGACCCTGCTCCAGGGAAGCCAGGGCCAGGGCCACTGGCCCTCTCCCTCTGGGTCACCTGCTCCTCCCAACCCACTCCCCGCCAGCCAGAAAGCACCTGGTTCTGATTCATTCCTGACCCTCACTCCCCACATCTACAAAATGGCCTTTTGTTACAAATGTTTCCCCAAGTTTGCTGCTTCCGTCTTTCCTTTTCCCTCACTCTTAGCCTCCTCTCTTCAGATCCTCCCTTTTTTTTGTACTTGGGACTGAACCCAGAGCCTTTGAACTGAGCTATATCCCCATCATTTTTTATTTTTTATTTTAAGACAGGATCTTAATATTAATTCCCCAAGTTGTCCAGGCTGGCCTCAAGCTTGCAATCTTCCTGCCTCAGCTTCTCAAAATGCTGGGATTACAGGCATGCGCCAGCACACTTGGCCTCTTCTTCCTTCTTTCCATGAACCGAGGGCTATGATTAATAGGAGAGGCTTCATCTCAGAGATGTAGAACTCACTGCCCTGCCATGGCCCTGTCCCTGCTCTCATCTGTCCTCTAGGGTCACCATTTCTCTGAAGTACTGATGCCAAGTCACCCTGCTGGCATAAGGAAGACAGTCACATGCTCTGTCATGTCTGAGGTCCTCCCGGGTCTATCCACAATCTCTATTCTACATTTCCTGGTCATCCTCTTGTGTCTACAGCTATCTGAGCTATGCTGAGGCCACAGATATGACCAAGGCCTGCCCTACCTCAAGGAGCTTGCAGGCTTTGCTTGGCTCCCAAATGCGTATTTTTGCTGACCTCCAAATCTACCTTTCCCTCCCCATCTTGCCTGCACCCTTCATTTTAAGCACCACATTATAAAGAGCAAGACGTGAGCCAGGGGCTAGGAATATAGCAGTGCAGAGCAGCTTGTTAGCATGTCCAAGGCCCAGGTTTGATCTTCAGCACTGAAGGAAAAGTGTCTCTCTTACACTAGATCATGAGTGCCTCATAGGCAGGACCATGGCAAACTTAGTTCTGACCACAGGCTGAATGGGTGGCTACTCACTGGCTGTGTGCCCTTGGGGAGATCAGTTGGCCCAAGACTCGGCTAATTCCAAAGTGGAGGACATCTCCACCCTGGAATACTGAATATTAGGGTATAAGGAAGTAGCTATGAAAAGTGTTGGTCTCAGTAGAAAACAGGGCCTCCGTGGGCGCATGGTAAGCCAAGGTGACTACTCACCTGCCAGGTGCTGAGTCCCTGGAAGAAGAAGAAGAGCGCAAAGCCCCAGACCACCGAGGTGCAGATGATGCAGAGCAGAGGGATAAGCTTGATTCGCTCTCCACTCCGGAGCTGGGTACGGGTAGGGAAAGGAAAGAGAGCTGAGGGCCAGACTTTGACCCAGGCCATCGTCCAGCCTTTCCTGGACTCCCTCTTCTGGGGCCCTCCTGCACCTCCTTTAGGAAGCCTGTTCAGACTCACAGCATCTCACACATGGAACTCAACCAGTCCCCACGCTACTGGCCTTGTATCCCCACCTGACGCCCACCCTCACTGGGCCTCCATGTCTCCAGGAACCTGGTACCAACAAAGGGTGCTGGCTGGGGGCTCTCCTCTCACACTGCAGGGCATAGGGAGGCTCACTTGGGAGGCATCTGGTCCTCAGAGGCCCAAGACCATCACAGATTTTGAGAGCCCCACCTCCTCTCAATGCTGCAATGCAAGGGGCCCCAGGCTGGGACCTGGGAGTGGAGACCAATGTCAGAGTGCTTGCTCAGTGGCTGGCACTAGCCTCCCTTTTCCTCAAATATCACTGGCATTGAAACGGACAGAGAAATTCTCATTCCCTCTCATGGATGCCTAGGTAGACTACGCCCACATACATTCCCAAAAGCAGAGCAGATGAGAGAAGAGGCTCAGCTCTCCCCACTCACCTTCATGATAATGTAGAAGGCGAAGTAAAGTAGCAGGTTGCAGATACCAATGGCCAACAAGTAGGAGGCAAAATCATTGGGGCGCATGATGAGCCCATAGGCAGCCCTGCAAGAAGGAAGAGGGGATGGTGAACCAGCGGGGGGCCAAGAGCAGGAGCTCTCTTCCTTGTTCCCACACCACTATTTTTTATCATGATGCTGGGCTGGGTTCGGGGGCCTACAGAAGACTTTTGAAGCCCAGGGACCGATACTTCTCTCCTCAGCACCTATCCCTCATGCCCAACACGGAGAAGTTATCCACAGCCCCCAAGGCAGCCAGTGGCTGGCCACGCCTCCCAGCCAGGCTACCCCAGCCGATGGCCACACTCACAGCGACCAGTTGATAATGTTACCCATCACCAGCAGCACCATGCGGTCCTGGGGGGAAGCAGAGACATAGAGACTGAGAGGAAGAAGAGAGACAGGGAGAGAAGTGGCAGGAGGCCCACGTCAGTGAGTCCCTAGCCCTACCCCAGGTTCCCCGCTATGTTTCCCTGTCCCCACTAGAGGGAAGAGAACAGTGGGGAAGAGGAAGGGGCTGGGGAGCCAGGCAGGTACCACATAGAGGGGCCCACTGCACTGCCGGATGCAGTCCGTGTAGAGCACATGGAGGATGCGGCGGAAGATCCCCCAGTCTGCAAGGAGAAGGGCATGCTGCTGAAGAGCATGGGGTGCTCTTCTGTGCTGGACCCCTAGCCTGTGCCAGCTGAAAGAAGCCAGTGCTTTCAGAGGGCATAGCAATGCCAAGGCTATCTTGAATTCCTCACCCACTGACTCCTCCAGGGCCCCCAGTAAGAGGACAGAACCCAAAAGTCTCCAGTGTGTATAAGTCCCCAAGGTCACCAACCCCTTATTACAGGGCTTTCCCAGCCCCCTCTCCCATGCCCTGCCCTGGGTAGGCCCTCACCCAGCTTCCAGCGGCCCATGTAATAGAGCTGAGTGCTGAGGAGCAGGGTGGCGATGATGTGAATGACGGAGAAGACAATCCAAAACGCTGTGTTCCCTTTGCCAAAGACCTGTCAGAAGGCCATGGGGGCAGAAGTGAGGAAGTGCCCAGGAAGGTCCCTCTGGGAGGTAGCAAGATCTCTCCAGCAGGAGGTGGAGAGGTAGCATGCACACTCAGGTGTGGGAATGTGTGTGCGCACTTCCCATGGGGTAAGCACTCACCACGCCCAGCACAGAGAAGAAGATGACGATGGCCAAACAGGCATAGGCACTGTAGGCACTGGCATTGATGTCTGGGTGACGCTTCTGGTAGAGCTTCAGCATGCAGAGTCCAGCAATCATGTACATGAACGATGTGTCTGGGTTGGGGAACATGGAACACCCAACAGGCCTTAGCAGAGAAGCCCCAGCCCCAGCAATCAGTGAGGAAAAGGGCCCCATATCTTGTTATGGTGTAGAGTGAGGTGGTGGCAGGGTGAACTCCAGTCCCTTACTGTCCCTGCCACCCCACTAGTTGTCACTCAGAGTCCAATGCCTCCTGATGACAAAGACAACTTAGTCTGAGCGTCTTGGTCTGTGAGAACTATCCTTGATGACTTAGCTCTCTGTGTTTACACATGCCTTTACACAGGATAAGCCCATTTATCATATGTGGGATACATGTATGTGCCCTCACAGCTGCCCTAGCCTTGGAGTTCCCTATAGGGCTGAGTCTTGGAGATCCCTTTGGTGACCTAGGGGAGGTACAGGGCTGACAAAGGTTAGGTTCAGCCAAAGAGAGAGCTCCACTTACCAAACTGGAAATTAGTATAGTTGGGGCAGACGTGATAGCAAGCACTAAGCAGCCCCTCCATCATCAGTGCTGTGCCCATGGCATAAAACAGACCAAAGTGTTTGGGAATCCCACATTCCTATAGGGAAAAAGAGAAGAGAGGGAGGGTAAGGGAAGAAGGGAAGAGGGGACCCAAAGAGGTCATCCTGAGAGAAATAAAGAAAAGGAGTGGATCCATGTTGAGTGGGTATATGTGGAAGGCTGGGCAAGAGAGGGCAGGGCAAGGGGACCAGAGTAGGGAAACTTGGGTAGGGCTGTTCTGGGCAGGCCAGGGCAGGGCAGGACAAGACAGGGCAGGCCAGGGCTGGGCAAGGCTGGGCAGGGCTAGGCTGAATGGTATAGGGAAGGTAAGAAAGAACAAGGCAAGGCAGGACCCAGGCAGGGAAGGGCAGGGCAAGGCAGGGTTGAGCTGGGCTGGACTGGGTTGGGCTGGGCTGAGTAGGGTAGGGAAGGTAAGGGAGGATAAGGCAGGGCAGGTCCCAGGCAGCACAGGGCCAGGCGGGGAGGCATAGCTAGTCTGGACAAGCCCATGCCTGCCAAAAAGTACGAACTGGAGCCAAGCCCCTGAGTAGTGCTGGAGCTGAGGTCTCAGCAGGGCGGGCAGGTGCTCACTCACCATGGCATGAAGGTCATTGCGCAGCAGGGCCCGGTTGTGGTTGATCTCCCGCTGCAGGATGATGAGCAGGAAGAGCAGCCCCAGCAGGATGTACCCCAGGTTGCTGAGGATGTATGCCTGCCAAAAAGTACGAACTGGAGCCAAGCCCCTGAGTAGTGCTGGAGCTGAGGTCTCAGCAGGGCGGGCAGGTGCTCACTCACCATGGCATGAAGGTCATTGCGCAGCAGGGCCCGGTTGTGGTTGATCTCCCGCTGCAGGATGATGAGCAGGAAGAGCAGCCCCAGCAGGATGTACCCCAGGTTGCTGAGGATGTTGTTGAAGGCGCTACAGGGGAAAAATACAGCAGGGCCCGGTTGTGGTTGATCTCCCGCTGCAGGATGATGAGCAGGAAGAGCAGCCCCAGCAGGATGTACCCCAGGTTGCTGAGGATGTTGTTGAAGGCGCTACAGGGGAAATTCAAGGTAGACTGCGTTAACCTTGCATACAGACCTTTTCTCTGGCCTGGGCAGGCATTCACAAAGTCTCCCATCCCTGCCCTGGTTCCTGGCTCCCCTGGGGATGGGGACTCCCAGCACAATCCCCACCTGAGGTTGCCCAGTGGGTGGGCACAGAGGAAGTTGTAGTAGCAGATGTCCTGATTCCCTGTGACGTTCACCACCTGCAGAGGGACTGAGGCTGCTGACATGCCCGGCAGCCCACAGCCTGCGCCCCAACCTGGGCCTGAATGGCAAAAGAGCACCTGCCACTATGGCTGGCACGTGTGCATGTGCCCCAAGCATCTACTTCTTCTGAAAACAGATGCCAAGTGGGCAAAGCACTGCCCACCTCCTTAGGTGGCTGGAAACCCTGAGGCATGACCATGACAGAAGTTTTTGCCCCACAGTACAGAGAAAAGGGAAGGAAAACCAACACTTACAAAGCCCTGTGACTTGTTTCAGAATCCTCACCACACTGTTTTCAAGTTGCCCCAATTTCGCAGACACAGAAACTGATGCTCAGGGAAGTTAAGTGATTTGCCCAAGGTCTCTCAGCTGGCACAGCAGAGTTGGGACCTAAGACCTGTGCTCGTTGCAGAGCCCTGGCTGCCAGGATCCATGCTTTGGGGCTAAGTCCTAGCCTGTGGCCAAGATAAGCCAGGCCTGGCTCCTCACCGTCTGGTAGGTGATCACCAGCTGTATCACCGGAAGGGCATAGAAGACAGCAATGGTGGCAATGTTCCTGAGGAGCAGGAAAGTAGCGGTAAGGTGGGCAGGACCTGAGAAGTCCCCGCCCCCTGTGACAGGAGCCCCTGCCTGCCTGGTCTACCCACCAGAAGTAGATCTGGTACTTCTTCCGCAGAACACGTTTGTCCTTCCGTGCCAGGTCAGCCACATACAGGTATTGCTGGAGAGAAGCAGGGGGAGCTCTATTTATCTACCACCCTAGAACCCACGTGGGCAGGAACCTAGGCCACCCCTCTGCTGCAGGGTTGTTGGCAGCCAGTTGGGGGCCAACTTAATTTCACCTATTCCACCCCAATTGAGTTCTTCCTCCGCTTCTCTAATAGGCCACGAAAGTATGTGGGGCCTGAACACAGAACACCCCGTGCTCAGAAAATTCCAGCCAGGATCAGGCCCTTGGGGGTCAGACCTTGGTGCGAATGACGTTCTTGTCTGACTCAATGTCAGTCAGTGTGTCGTAGTCATCCTCTTCCACGGAGCTCATGGAGTCCAGTCGTGGCCGAGTACCCACTGGATCAAAGGGGCGGTCTGAGATGGGCAGAGAGAAAGGAATCAGGATGGTGAACACAAAATTCGAGGTCAGCCCCACCCAGTTGAGGCAATTGTCCAAATTACTAGGGACGGGAGAAGAGGCAAATTGTGGGCCATAGCTCAGAGCAGGGCTGGGGGTGGGCTTAGGTGCTGGGAGATGTGAGGTGCTCCTAAGCCAGGGGGAGCAAGGGTGGGCTCTGCAAAGAGGCGACCACAGAGGGACAGTCCCAGCTTTGCCCCACTCCTAGCTCCCCTGCCTGAGCTACAGCTTCCCAGTCCAGGCAGACCCCAGGCCCTGCACACAAGTAACAGGATTGAACTTGGCCAGTCATATTGATTACAAGGTGCCTGGCCCTGTGGGTTCTGAGAAGACACTGCCTTGGCCCCACTGGGTTAAAAGCCCAGTAGGCCTGGAGTACAGGCAAGGGCAAAAGGCTGCCTCTACAAAGAGCATCCTTCTTTATCCTCATCTGTCTCCCACCTTCAGAAGCTTCCTTCTGTGATGTCACCTAATCAAAGACCCCAGAGGCCAGGAGCCTGATCCTTGAAGACCAGGTGAGGAAGGCGCAGGCAAAAAGGAGAGCAAACTAGAATATCTGGCCTGGGGGTAGCTGAGGAGCCAGCCCACCAGCACTGGGGACCACGCCTGTCCATCTCAGAAGACACACAAGCCGGCACTACTGGCATTAGATGGGAAGCCATGCACCAAGCATCTTTCTAGTCCCTGAGCCGATAGGCTCCAGTCAACCACACTGGCAGGAGCTGATTGGCAGCCTCACCCCCTCCCCACATCTACCCATGGCAATGCACAGCTGCCGCATCTGGCCAAAGGGGAGGCGCCGCTTGAACTGGTCGTGCCCTTCAAAGGAAAGGGAAAGTTACCAGGGAACTGGGGACAAGGAGAAAATAATGAGCAAGGAGAGGGGCCAGGAGAACAGCATCTGTTCTCTTGTTCCAGCATCTGGCAGAAGAGGCAGCTGCCGACCTTGATGTTTCATCCAGCAAATAGCAGCCCTGCACTATACATCCCGCCTGCCTGGCCCACTCACCATGGTAACTGTAAGAGAGATCCCCACTACGGGCACTGTCAACCAAAGCATCAGTGGATCCGGAACCATTCTCTGCAGGGAACAATAAGTTGGGGAAGCAAGAAGGAGTGACCCCAGAGAAAGACATGCTGGGCCCAACCCCCAGGGGCTCGGAGAAGCTGCAAGGGCTCTGGTATCAAGAGGAAGCTAATGCTTCTTCACCACTCAGAGATCAAGGTAGGAATGGGCAAGTATACTTTCTGGCTTTGACACTTACCCAAAGAGCCATAGTTATAACCCTCATAAGAGCTTCCAGGAAAGGAATCAGCCAGGACCCGAGGGTGACCTGCAATGAGATGTCAAGGTCCCTTCACTCTGAAAGCAGAGAGGTCTAGAGCCAGGGAAAAGAGGGAAAGACCCAGAAAAGAGCCACAGAGAGGCCATACTGACAGCAAAGCATAAACACTTATCAAGGCCAAAACATCTCACTCCCACCACCACACCACACATGCGTGCCTCTCCATGGAAACACACCACCCTGTGTCTTCCTTAGAGAGGAAAGTAAGGGAACCAACACACCCAAGCTACCAACCATAAGGACACACAACATCTGGCTGCCCAGCCACCCCCGACAACCCTGGGCTTCAACTCCCTCCCCCTGGACTGTAGTTCCTCTGTCCCTAGCACCGGGAGCTTACCAAGAAGAGAAGCTGAGAGAGAAGGTCCCAAGCAGGAGAGAGGACAGAAAGTAAGGGAAGGTGAAGAGAGAGAGAGAGAGAGAACAGAATGTTAATAACCCCAGATACTGTGAACTGTACTGCCTGAGGTGGACCGACAGTGTAGACAGACACAGAACAAGGAGATCAAGTGACAGATTCCAGGGTGCCATGTTAGGGATGGAAGGGATAACAAGAATGTTATTCCCTGCCTGACAATCCAAAGCCCCCAGCTCTTCCTCCTCCAACCCATGAGGGAGCCAGGTATGATTTTCCCTCAAGAAACAGTAAGTGAACCCTGCCCTTCCCTCCCAGGTCCCCTGGAGGTACCACTTTCTGGGCAGGTTCGGTCTACGGTCAGCAGAAGAGTCTTCTTCTTCTGCCTGTAGGGAAAGAATCCAGAGGACACCCAGATGGGACAGGACAAAGATTCTTCTGTGCTGGGCTGGCCTTCCTTCACCCTCGCCACCCCATTCTGAATCTTCTAATGCAGTCCTCCAGCCTGGATCAGAAGTCCTCTCAGGCTGGGGAGCAACTCAGGATCTCACTGCTTGGGAAGGAGATCAAGGGGAGGGGCTGGCTTTCAGAGAAGTGGCCCACGGATGACAGACCCTATGAGGGACCCACCTCATTGGAGGATGGTCAGATTACCCTGAACGAGCTCAGGTTCTGCAGGCAATTTTCACCATGCCCCTACTCACCACCCCAATGAGGGGAGGCCCAAGAGTTGCATCTCACCTCCAGTTCTCCCAACAGGCTAAGAGGATGGTCAACAGGTAGAAGGAGAGAAATATCCCCAGGCAAAAGAGCATCCCACCAACATAGGCGTCGGCTGCAAGGGAAGAAACAGGAAGGCAAAAGCTTCCAACACTGCCCATCGTGGCACCAGGCCTTTATGATCTGGCTTCTCTGTCTCCACTCAGCCATAATGCCTGGGCAGTGTGAACAACTGGCAATTTCCCAATGCCTCAAATTCTGACATGATTCTGTCTTTGCTCATGTTGCTTTTTATGCTAGAATTTCCTATTTCTTGAAAACTCTATCTCAACCTAACTTTTAAACCACATCGCAGGGACTATGGTTTTTCCCTCTAGGAAATCTTCTCTGTCCTTCATTTGGACAGTGACTTATCCTTTGCTCATCACAGCTCTCGGCACCCTGTAGAGCAACAACCTCCTGTCCCTCTACACAGGATCTCCTTAAGAAGTGTAGCCCATGGTGGTGCACTTCTATAATCCCAGCACTCACAAAGCTGAGGCAGAAGGATCTCAAGTTCTATCCCAAGCCACATAGCAAGTCCAAGGTAGTATGGATTATATAGTAAGACACTATCTCAAAAAGAAGAGGGCCAGGGATTTAGCCTCAGTGGTTCTGCCGCCTGCCTTGCAAGTGCAAGGTCCCGAGTTCAATCCTGGTATGAAAGGAAAGAAGGAAGGAAGGAAGGGAGGGAGGGAGGGAGGGCAGGCAGGAGGGGAGAGAGAGAGAAAGAAAGACAGATGGAGGGAAGGGGGGAAAGAGAGGGGAGAGAAAAAAGAAAGAGAGAAAGAAAAGAGAGAGGGAGAGAGGAAGGAAAAGGGAAAGGAAGGGAAGGACAACGAGGTGAGGGGAAGGAGGGAGGAAGAGGGGGGAAAAAAGAAAGAAAATAGCCCTAGTATAGCACCTGACATATAGGAAGGGCCCAATAAATATTTGCTGAATAAATGAGCCACATAGGTGAGGCAGCTTCTTTCCCCTCCTACCACACTCCTTATTTTTATCTTATATTCTTCAGTTTATATGGGTCCCATTTTATCACTCAGTATTTACTGGACAATGACTAGGGCCCCCAAATTTTGCTGCTAATTTTACGCTAAGCCTCACAACTGAGTTAACAGAACTGGTTTTATTACTTGTGTTATAGAGAGAGGAAAATGGAGGCTCGATGAGATTCTACTGCCAATAGGTACAGAGAGTGAGAGAACTTAGCTCTTCAGTCTTGGGTCATGGACTCTGTCCCCCACACCAGGGAACCCACCTCACTGCCAAGAACACCAGACCTCCACCCCACTGGCCTGCATGGGTAGGTTCTTAACACCCTCGCCCCTGGATCTGAGCGGAAGAGACAGGGGGGCCTGCCCTTCCCACTTGGTCAACCAAACTCACACGTGACTGCTTTGGATACCAGCACTGACAGGGTTTTCTGGCGGTGCCCTTGATCGACCGGTTCATCTGGAAATAAAATGTCAAAGAGGCAAAGTAGTTGCCAGGAGCTTGGCGAGAGTCAGTGGGACCTGGCCTTGGAGATGCTGGGGCCAAAACCCTGCATCTCATCAGATCCATCAACAGCTATGTGGGCTCTTCCAGCCCCAAGAAGCCACCAAGCACTCCCCAACCCTAGTCAGCACCAAGGCACAAGAGTATACCTTCTACAAAGGGGTAGAAAGGCAAGGAACCCCCGCAGGCCTGGTCTTCGGTCTTCACCACCACCACCACGTAAAAGCTGTTGCTGGGGAAGTCTTTGCGCTGCAGGATGTGGGGAGGAGAAGGGTCATCATCATGGCCACCATCCTTTTCTGATGTTTACTTTTGGGCCAGATACTATGTTAAAATCCTTACACATATTACTTAATCCTCATAAAAAATATTTTTTGGTTCTGGGAATTGAACACAGGGCCTTCACATCAAGCTCTTCTTTTATTTTTTTATTTTGAGACAAAGTCCAGCTAAGTTGCCAAGTAAGACTCAAACTTGTGCTCTTCCTGCCTCAGTCTCCCAAGTAGCTGGGATTATAGGCATATGGCACTGTGCCTAGCTCCCACAAAGATTCTTGAGAGACATATTACTTTACTATTATTACCTATGTTGGAGAGATTCAGAAGTTAGCATGGGATATCCTGCCAATCTCTGGAAAAGCCAGGATTATTTGGCTCCAGAGCCCAAACCAAACCTACATTATGGCCAGGTGAGCAAATGCATATGTGCCCCACACGGTACAGCCAGAAGAAAAAGTGGAGGTAGGTATCACACTGCCCATCGGTTGCAAAGCTTGAGGTTGTGAAGTAAACACATGGCTTCTCCCTCCCTGTCACCAGAACACATCTCAGCTTGTGCCAAGGGTAGCACCTTGAACAGCACCCTCATTTGCTTTGTAAAGAATAAAATAAAGATAGGAAAAAAGGGAATTCTAGTCTTTCCTGTCCCCAAGAGTGACTGGGATTACAGTTTAACTCACCCATATACAGGTATTGGAGGGTCAAGATTCAGACTTGGATAGGGTGGAATGGGGCAGAGAAACAGGGGCAAGGTTTCGAAAGTCACCGGCTTACTAGGCAACCCCTTCTCCCAGAAGGCTATGTGTATTTCCTACCTGAACAGTGATAGCTGCCTTCTTGGTCATGGTCTGGTACATGCCGATGAAGGCTACATTATTGTCCAGGTCATAAACAGGGCACTACAGAGGAAGGAGGGGAGAGACAGATGGATGGGGACCTGGGTCCTGTCCCTCTCTTTAGTGATGCTGCTACCCATTGGTGAGAGGAAAAGGACAGGCAACTTACCAGGACATCCTGGATGGAGATGACTGAGCAGGGAAAGGCTTCATCAGAGGTCACCTTGACAATCACAGAGTCTGCTCCCTCAGGGAACTCATACTTGAAGTACTGAAGGCACAGGAGGGCACAGAGAGCCCCATCTTGTGAGGATGCTCTCTTAGGCCCTGAATGATACAGTCTCCCATGAGCCAGGACCCAGAATCCTCTTGGGTTAGGTAAAGGAGGCTCTCTGGGAAGAAGGGCCTTGACTGTAAGCAGCCTTACTTGGCACTGAGGCAGAGCTGGAAAGATGGCAACTAGACTCATCTCTGCACTGTCCCACTGTCTGTCCCTCACCACAGTAGGGCCGGAGCTCCTCTTCCCAGAGCCTCTCTATAGGGAATGCAGCCACTCCCAACTTCCACTCCTGCTCCATGTTCTCATATCCCATTTGTCCCTCCACAGGGGCAAGGATGATGACAGAGGATTTTACCTGGGGCTGGGCTGCAGTGGTATTGAAGCTAAATTGCTCCCCAGTCCTGCAGGGCACAGAAGAACCCCTACGTCACTCCTTGAGTTTTTAAAGGAAGTCAGTCCCCACAGTCCCCCTTGCTCCATCCCGCAGACCTAAGCACAAAGTCATCTATCCGATTGACCCGGAGCTGATACGTGGTGTTGACAGGTGACAGCGTGGAGACATCCACATAGAAGAACTGGACCTCAGACTCGTTCTTGGTGGGGGGCTGACACAGTGTTCGCTCCACTTTTTGGTAGAGGTACTTGCGCTGAAACCTATCACGCAAAGCAGAGTCAGGATGTGACTGCTCTTCCAGCCACCCTGCCACTCCAGAGGAGTGAGGCCCCAATTCTTCCAATCAGGTTCCTACAACTCTCAAGCCTTAGGCTGACAAGCTCCAGGCACAGGAAGTAGGGAGGAGAAGCAGGGGGTATTGGCTGAGGCTTTGAGCAAGGACTGGCCTAAGGCCAACCCCTCCCTGCTCCCCAGGTCCTACTCACAGCCCTCGCAGGATTAGGGGCACCTGGAAGGACACCACAGCCTCCTTCTGGCGGACCACAAACAGCAAAGGCGCTCCCTTCTCCTTGTTCAGGACGTTCACAGACACACGCACACCCTCCGTCTGCAGATGACAAGGAAGTGTCCTCACATCTCTGTCCCTGACCCAATATAAGGCTAGAGATTGTGAGCCCTGCCCTCCCTCCCTCATCTACCCTGGCCAGTTTGGGAAGCCATCAACACTCCTTCTGCCAGAACAAAGGCTATCTCCAGGAGGGACTGGTGCTTGGTGAGAGAAAAGGCTGGCTACTGGCCTCAGGTGGGTGTAGGGCAGCAGGACCTGGGGTGTTTCCAGTATACCCCATTCCATCCATGTGCACAGGAAGCACATGCCTGCGCACACATGCACATGTAAAGCACACACACACACACACACTAGAAAAGCAAGAAGAATTGTCTTCCTTGTGAGCCAGGAAACCAGCATGAGGCTCTGGTTCAACAACTAACCTGAGGCCAGAGCCCAGCAGGGACTGGGGGTAAGGGAATGAAGTGGGGAAGAGTGAGATGTTGAAAGCCAAGTTATATCTTTAGCTCTGACCAAGGCATAGGACAATAGAGAAGTTACTTCATATTTCTAGGCCTCAATTTCCCCCTCTGTAAAATAATATTCTCATTCCTAGCTATAGAGAAAGGTACTGTATATAAGACAGTGGGAGCTTTAAAAAATCCTGGGAATAGTTATTAATGGGATGCCAAAACCCAAGGCTTAGGGTAGCATTTCCCAAAGAAGCAGACACTGCAGCTCTAAGGGTAACCTCAGATATAGGACAAAGGGAGGAAAGGACTTCAAGCAGTAGGCCATCACACTTCCAGGAACAACACTGAAGGCAAATCATGGCTTGCTAGACAAAAATCAAACCCTCTCCATCTAGGAGAAAAAAAAAAAAGTCCCAGACTGTCAATTTTCAACTCCACTGCTTCCTTATAAATCCAGATCCAGTTCTGGAGACAAGAAAGCTAGCAGGAGCCGAGCGTGGTGGCACATGCCTATAATCCCAGCAATGGGAGGCTGGGGCAGAAGGATGGGAGTGAGTTCGAGGTCAGCCTGGGTTACATAGTGAGTTCAAGGCCAGACTGAAAAAAAGCAAGAAAGCAAGCAAGCTAGCTAGCAGGAGACACATGTACAGCTGTAAGAAGTCTACAGGTCTTCTGTGACTAGGGGCCAGATTTCCCAGACCTCAATATACCCAGTCTCAACTTCCAAGGCTGGAAAGAAATGAAAGAGAGCCCAGGGTGAAGCCAGGCACGGTGGCACACATGGCAGGCTGAGGTAGAGACGATCAGAAGTCCACAGGCAGTCTACATGGGTAATTCAAGGCCTGCCTGAACTGCATAGAGAATTCCTGTCTCAAAAAAAAAGCAATAAGGGGCTGGGGATTTAGCTCAGTGGTGCTGCCACCTGCCTCACAAGCACAAGGTCCTGAGTTTGATCATCACCAGTATGGCCAAAAAAAAAAAAAAAAAA